TTCCTCTCTTGGATCAATTTTCATGTTGCGGCGCAAGAGCTTCCCTACCTCGACGCCCTCGCTGCTTGGTCGCGAGCATGTGGGTCAGAGCAATTTACGAGGCTCTTGGCGGCGATGTGTCGGAATCCACTGCCCGCAAGTTTCACGACATGCGAGGTTCTATCAAGCGGAGGTCTGCTCTCACATTGCCGGTTTGATCGAGGCTAAAGAATGTTGCTTTGAGCGATAGGTACTGCGCAATCTCGTCGAGAATCTGCAGCGGGGCAAATACGACACAGCTTTCAGTTCTTGCTCGACATAAAGAATGAAGTCTGCCAATTCGTCGATGAGCACGCACAGGCCGTCATGTATGGTGGAGCGACACCGATCCTCTATACCTCTCGTCCCAGCGTTTTTCCACTCGTCCCAACGTGTTCTAGACTATACCAGCGTTTTCTAGACTATGAGTTTGCTTTCTACAGCTGGAGCGAAATTAACTAATCGATTTTGTAAAGTATAAGGGGATCTTTAGTGTCCATCCAATATAAAATGTACTCTAGCTTGGACGATTGATCATTCCCACCTAGCGTTTTTGTGCCATTGCAGAGCTCAACATCGTCAACACTCGGAGCAACGCTGGATTTTCTCCGGTCCGAATACAGTCGCGACCCCAATACAGCACCAAGAGACTAGGTAACACTTCAGGATGATATCGTATTAAAATGAGACACTGTATAAATGAAACTGAATCATACCTTGCAATTGAAATTCTTTTCCAGTCGGTTACGAAAACTTGAGGCGAGCTTAGGCCTTGTCTCTAGTGCGCTTCGGCTCCAAGTATAACACCCATCTGTTGTGGAGCACATTTCTGCAAGAATAAAAATCTTTTAGAGCCCTTCCGAGAAGAAGATCCATACCTTCCGTGTGAGCAATGATCCTGCATCTGATTAAAGAACTCTTCCTGTGTGTGGACCCGACCAATTTAAAATTACAACAGACAATGTGACGAGGGAAATGACAGGAAACATTCTAGAAACATTCAGGAAACATTCGCTGACAAAGAAGATGCAAGTTTGAGATGACCGCTTGGCGAGTATAAACTTGGAAGCTGTAAGCAGGACAAGAACTTTCAGCGCACGAAGACTGCCTGTAAAAGTGAAGCTTGTACCTTGTCCGTGTTTATACTTCACTTTGCTGTCTGGTTCTCGCAAATCTATGCCCCCTCCAAGCTAGAGATCCCAAAGTGGTCAGGATACTCTTTGGATTTTCTAGCCAAATCCACGTGCCGTCAATCGCCTTCTTCAGTCCAAGCTTCTCCAAAGACTCAACAGCGACACCAACTTTCCCGGACTTCCCCAACTCGTCGGAGATGCAAAGATGCGTCGTGTGTGATGTGTGGGCTACGAACAAGTTCTGGTTGGCCAGCTTGAGCTTGAGCTCTGCAATTGCCTGAGCCGGCTCAGCCTGAGCCGGTCCAAACCGTGCACAGCTTAAGTCGTCCGAGGAGACTCGTACAGTGGATGGCCAGTCCAGGCGGCGCTCCACCACAGCAACCGTCGACGCTTTGCAGAGAGATCTGTGGCAGTGCCATGGTCGAAGAGGAAACCCCATAGTGAGTAGTGGAGCCAGTGCAGGACGCTTGCTTAAGCTGGAACTCGGCCTTGTCCAGCCGACCCAAGTTTTCGAGCAGCATCCCTAGAGCTTTGGTTTTAGGGCTTTCATTCTTGTACGATGTTGAGCTTGGAGCTTTTGCAATGGCACAAAGATCACTGGATGAGTATGATCAATCGTCCAAGCTCTGGAATAAGGTACATGCACAGATATGTTTTGAATTGATGATTCACTTCCCCCCCCCCCCCCCAGGACCTACATCTGCGACAGGCTTGCCGCTCAAACCTTAGAAAGCGAACCAAGGTTGGCAGCTTGGAAGCAGCGGATGATAGTTGGCGGCGCGCAATTCTTTGCTCCAAACAGTATGCGAAGCAACGATGATGAAAGTTGGTGCTGGTACGAGGAGGATCCCGAGGTTTGTACTCCTTTTACCTGGGACGTTTTTCTGGAGTGGAGGAGCATGCGACTCTGGTTTGATACCTTAGGCCAGGAAGCGAAAGAGTCATTCCAGCAGTGGATCAGCGGGTGCTGGGATAGAGAAAGAAAAGACTTCGTTTTTCTCACTGGAAACCATGAGTTTTGCAGTAAGGTTATGCTCAAGGAGGTACCCAGGGAGGAGATCTATTTCTTTGTTGATGGGCTGGCTATGGAATTTGGTGTGGATTGTAGACATGTTGGCAAAGACCAGGATGAACCCTCAGTTTTGCAGCTTGAATGGTCCATTTAGAATGATATTTCGTTATTGTACTTGCGTTATTGTACAAATGATCATCTAAGCTCTCAAGAGAAGAATTTGGAACGCTGGATTTGCTCGATCTTTGATTAGAGATAGAGAAGTTCTTGGGTGAACTATTGCTTTCCTACTCCACATGAAAGCTTTTCGTGTTGCAGCAACACGCAATAAACTGCATAGCCAAGGGTCAGTTTACGTCCAAGAATCAAACTTGACACTAGCTTACCCGCCTCACACCTTCGTTTCGTGTGATATCTCCAGCACTCGAAGAAAGCTTGACACCATAGCATACAATTCTGAGGAAAAAAAATGCAGGAGTCATCAGAGAGATTGAAATAAACAGAGAATTACTTACGTGTGTCACACCAAAAGAGGAGCTTGAGACGAAGATGTTTCAGTGCCGAAAGACAGATTAGGAGGATGGACTTCAACATCTGGATATGCTGCTTTGAAACGCCTTCGCAGGTTATCGTCAACCAGGCGAACACCGTTCAGCTGGTTGCCTAGAGATATCCACCTGAAAGAATCAAACATCCAACAGATAGCTGGACTAGAAAAACAGAGAAACACGAGAGGGAACTGTACCCTGCATGTGTGTTGTGCATTCTGGCAAACAACTCCAGCTTTCGCGTTCGAGGACTTATTCGTTCCAGCATTGGATACATCTACACACAAGATAAAAGAATGCTGGTGAGAAGAAAAGAAGAGAAAGACGCATAAAGTATGTAAGAAACCTCGTCCGGCTTTCGGCTTGTCTCCCTGACTTCGGCTACGATGACATCAGTGTCAATGTTCCTGTTTACCTCCGGGTTGCCCTTGATCCCAACCAAGCAATGCTCTTTGGAATGGTTGAGCCAGTGGCCTGTCCGTCCGGTCCGGATTATCCGTTGCAATTGGTTTGTCTTCACCCAGATGAGTTCCTCGACTCGTTTGTAGCCCCATAGTTCCAAGCTGTATGAGAAAAGAAACTGCTCTTAGCAAGAAAAAAACTATAATCGAAGAGGAAAGATTTGTTACCATTCCCGTCCAAGCTCCATTGCTCGTCCTGTTACCCAGAGGAAAAGAAGCCCGTCCGTTTGTAAGACCGGAACATTTAAGTTCCGCATCTCATCATCAGACATCGTTCCGTATGGAAGCTCCATGTGAATGTCCCAAGGAGGATCAGCCATGATGACTCCAAACTGGCCGAGTATTTCCATTTTGAAGGAACGGATATCGCAGTTGACCCACTGCGGTTCGCCAAGCTCAACCTCAGAGCAGTAGTCGGCTCTGGGTTTCGAAAGCGAGCGTGAGACACCGGGAACATCTAGCGTAGCATCAAGCTCGTAGTGGACGTATTTGCATGTCTGCGAGAATTCGACTTTCTTTCAAAGCTCTTGCGGGAAGAAGATCCATACCTTCATGTGTCTGCATGTGTCCAGGAACGAGCAATCGCCCAAGTTCACATCCGTGTGTAGAGAAATGATCCTGCGAAAATGCATCTGCGAACATACAGAGAGCTTGGTGTTAAAACTCGCTTGTAGCAGCAATGAAACGAACGACCTTTTCGCATGGCAAATAAGAACCTCGATGACCACGGCAATCTTCTTTCGTCAGTGATGGGCAGTACTCTTTCAAGGCCGAGCCACCTTTTGTTTTAAACTGCGATAACAGACAACCATATAAGAGTAAACAGAAAAAGAAAAAAAAGAGTTGAGAATCAAACCTTTGCTGCCACAGCAGTCTCCTTCGCAGTCGGCCGATGAAGAAGATCCAAGAGCTCTTCTCCAGTCTTTGATTTTTGCGACTCGAGATACGATTTCTTGGCGAGCAAAGTCTCCAGATCCTTCATGACATCCTCACTGCCAGATTTCGTGGGCAATTGTCCAGGCCTTTGCTGGAAAGGAAGCATACCTCCAAATCCCATTCCAGCCATCATCCTCGGAGGAAGTCCCATCGCGTGAGGAAAAACCGTGTGCAAATGCCCGCTCTCGGCATTTGTGGTCGACCGAGCGGATGCCGAGTGGAGCGATCCACTGTCGCCAGAAGGCTGCTGCGAATGACCACGAGCTTCTCCTGCCAATCTAGCCTTGTCCACGCTGAGAACCATGATCCTTTTCTTACCACCAAGAACGCACTCTTCGACCTCCATTGGAGCTCCTATCCCATCAGCAAGAGCTCTCAAGCCTGCCTCAACAGCGCCAATCACACCACCAGGCCCCCCAATCGAATCCACTGCCTCTCTCTCGGCCGCGCTAAAATCTGTGGGCATTCTCCTCGCCAGTCCAATCGAGTCGATGGGAATGGCAGTGCCTGGAGAAGCCAAACAGCCGGCGATCAATCCCTTGACAAGCTCCAATGCGCTACCCGAGTCTGGCTGCCCGGCCTGGGAATCCAGAGCTCGCTCTGGCTTGCGATCCCTGCGCGGCCGTGGAAGAAGCCGAGGCGAGCAGTCAGACACGGCGGCTGCCAGATCCAGCGAGGCCGAGATTTCTGGATCGGCATTGCGGAGATTGTTGAGGAGCTCCTTCCTCGACTGTCGCTGCCTATCGATCTGCTCGGTGAGGAGACGCCGCTCCTCGCGGATGAAGCTAGCCTCGCTGTTCATCGCCCGATCGAGCCAGTCTACCTGCGATCCGCCATAGCTATAGCAAGAGCCCTAAAAGTTTTAAATGGGAAAAACGGCCAATGTCCATTACCCTAGCTAGGGTTTTGGGGTTATAACGGCAATGGCTGGATCGGGGAGAGCGCAGAAGAACAAGGCTCACAAGACGCGCTTCTCCTCCAAATCGTCTCGTCGAGATCACAAATTGGCAGGGACTACAAGTAAGTCGCGCGGATTAGAGTGATATAGTTTGTGACTCCTCTTGCAGAGGAGAAGAATTCAAAGAAATCCGCAGTCCAGCAGAGTGCCAAGGAGCTCAGGTTGCAGAGGAACAAAAATGTAAGAGGATTGAATCCCGTGGAATGAATTTAACGGAGCTTGTGTTTTAGATTCGTGACAGCAAACGAGCGATTTTGCTCTCCGAGAGACGTGGAATTAAAGGAGATAAAAGTGCCCCTCGTGTACTCGTGAGTTCTTCTTTTAGTATTTGTGCTTGCGTAGAACTATTCTGCTCCAGGTTCTGGTTCCTTTGGATTCTCGGGCACAAACTGGAGAACTCAAGAAGAGAATTGTTGCAGCATGCCTGGGCGATGAGTCCTGTGCTGTTGACGCCATGGAAACTGAAAATCCAAGTGAGGGAAGTCTCGGTTCCATCAGTATACCAAGACTCAAATTCAGATTAACTGTAAGTAAGGCTGTTGAAACTTTTTCCAATCGTATCTTGCAAAACTTTTCGTGTAGGTGCTTGAGGCACCTTACGGGGACCTCCAAACCTGTCTACAAGCTGTCAAGGTGATTTTTTCTTCTGTGTAGGTCGATGATCGCAGTTTGTAACAAAGATCCTGTGCTTGCAGGTGGCAGACATTGTTGCTTTCGTGTTCTCCGTAGCGGAGAATGACGAAAACGTTTTTGAAAAGAGTGGCAAGCCTGTTCTCTCCATGTTGAAGGCACAAGGTCTCCCACATACTATTGGCATTCCATTGGTACGATAGCTCGGAGCTTTTCCTTACGATTGATAAACAATGTGGCAGGGGCTGGGAGATGTGGCTTCTAAGAAACGCGCAGATGTTTGGAAGCTCTATCACGATAGGCTCGAGGCTGAATTTCCTCCTCACGTGAAAACCTTCGATGGCAGTAGCAACGACGAAGCTCAGCAGGTTTCTACATACTTCTTTCGGTTCCTCTTAACGCACAATGAGTGCAGATGCTTAGGCATATTTCCGAGCAGCGCCCTTCTCACCTTCAATGGCGTTCGCAGCGGCCATACGTAATGGCAGAGCAGGTTAGCACTCGTCGGAAATGTCGTTGCTGTGCTTATAACCTTGTTGCATGTAGCTTGCCTTTGAAGCTGATTCCCAATCTCCTAGCGTGGGAACGCTGCGTCTTTCGGGCTATGTTCGGGAGCAAAGTCTTTCAGTCAATAAGCTGGTAATGAAAATAGATGGTGCTTAAGATGTAGACCGAGCTTTCTCATTAAATTGTCGCAGATTCACATATCAGGAATAGGGGATTTTCAGTTGGAAAAGATGGAGATTCTTGACGATCCTTGCCCTCTGTCTAATAAAAAGTTTGACGGCATGGCAGTAGACGCACACAAGGTAACGCGTCGTAACACGGGTGGGAACTTTGACATTTTATTTTTTGGCCGCAGGAAATACTTCCAGATCCAAACAAGCAGGAAGCTCTTGTTATAGAGAACATCCTTGATCCTCTTGCTGGCGAGCAGGTAACCCCATATTATAGAAGAGGGAATGAATTTACATGTGGTCGTGTAGACATGGCCAACCGAAGAAGAACTGGCTAAAGCTGATGTCCGAGACCAAGGCCGGAAACGCAGAAAGCTGCCCAAGGGGACTTCTGATTATCAGGTTTGACGTGTTGAATTTTATTCAGCAATGATTTTCTGTTCATATAGGCATCCTGGATTATGGATGAGTCTGATGAAGAAGAGGGAAGTGACATTGAAAATGCCGAAAACACACAGGAGATGCAGTGTGACGATGAGTATCAAGATGATGCATCACGCGGCGCATTTGAGGAAGAGGAGACTGAAGCAGACACAAGCGAAATGATGGTAAAAGAAGCGGCGTCTGTGGTGTCTTTTAAACATTGCTGTATTGTGCTTGCAGGATGATGAACCTTTGAGCATCAGTCAGCGTAAAGAAGAGATTCAGCGTCTGAAAGAGGCTGTTAGAAGCGATGAAGGTCTGAACGATTCTTTTATTTTTATTTTAAGTTTTCTAGCGCCCGCGCATTTTCAGAATTTCCGGATGAGGTGGATACACCCATGGACGTGCCAGCTAGAGAGCGTTTTGCCAGATATAGAGGATTAAAATCCATGCGAACTTCAGCTTGGGATCCAAAGGTTTCGTCTCCTTCCTTGTCATTTCTCAAAGTAATGCGTTTGCCCAGGAATCTCTGCCAGCGGACTACGCAAGAATATTTGCGTTTGACAACTTTAACAGAACAATGAAGCATGTTACCAAGAAGGCTAGCTGCGTCGACGAGGCGTTCTCAGCGTGTACGGGCTCGTTTGTGAGACTTCATATAAGGAACTTCTCGAGTTCCGTCGCTGCGAGCCTTTTGGAATCCTATAGGACGTGTCCTCTGGTGGCCTGTGGGTTATTCCAGCATGAATCCAAGATGACCGTCGTGCATTTCAGGTGAGACGTTAAGAGTTTGTTTTCTTTTTCTACGTATGCATGACACGTCCTGTTGACGTCTCTGGCAGCATCAAGAAGAACGATAGCTTCACGGAACCAATCAAATCAAAAGAGAATTTGCTTTTCCACATAGGCTTTCGATCTTATTTCACCAGGTGAGCCAATCTTCTCTCAAAGTTTCTAGAGACTCACATTGTTACTTTTTTGAATGTGAATTTGATGTAGGCCCATATTTTCCACTGACGATATCAACATGAACAAGCATAAGTACGAACGTTTTCTTCATGCAGGACGATTCTCTGTGGCCTCGGTCATTATGCCCGTGCAGTTCCCACCCGGCCCGCTCGTAGTCTTCAAGCGTGACGCTCAAAATCTACACTACGTAGCATCAGGTCTGCTGAAGAATGCAGACCCGGACAGGATCATTCTAAAGAAGATCATACTTTCGGGGTAAGCTCAGACACAGTTCTGCATTTCTCTAACGTCCTTTCCATGACTTGATCAATCCACAGATACCCTCTCAGAGTCTCGAAAAGAAAAGCAATCGTTCGCTACATGTTTCACAATCCCGAAGACGTCAAATGGTTTAAGGTGATGGAGTGTTGCTTACGAGTTCCCAGTTTGTTTCTCTAACATGAAAATGCTTTTGCAGCCTCTCGAGCTGTGGACAAAGTATGGAAGAAGGGGCCGTATCATGGAACCAGTAGGAACTAGAGGTCAGTGTTTTGGAGATTGAGGAAACCTCGCTCGCTTCTTATACTTCCGTGCTTCCAGGAGCTATGAAATGCGTGTTCGATGGCGTCGTCCAGCAGAGAGACGCGGTATGCGTGAATCTATACAAGCGCGTCTATCCAAAGTGGCCGCAACAGTAGAGCTACAGGCGAAGATCGCTAGAGAAACACCGATTTTGTTTTCTCCCGTTAAAAAACTACTGCTGCTCAGGTGTATCTCTCAAACACTAAGAAATCCTTGATTTTTTTGAGTTAAGAAGATGGACGGCTAGGATTTGCTGCCGCCATAGCCGAGCTAACAGCCATTTGGCCTGCTTTGGTGGCAGGCATCCGTGCAGCGGCTGGCCGCAACAAAAAAGATTTTCTATCCCGCGATTCCCTTTTCTTTCTCTCGATTGGCGATCACTATTTAGCAGGGGAGGACAGGGGTCAATCGCATTCTTCCTCGATCGATCGATCGATCGATCGATCAATCACAAGATGCCACGGCCGGATGCATCGTGCTCGCCAACGCTGGGCAGCCACATCGCGCGGCGCCTGGTGGAGATCGGCGTGAGCGATCTCTTCGCGGTGCCAGGGGATTTCAATCTGGTTCTCCTGGATCAGCTCATCTACCATCCAGGCCTCTCGCTGGTGGGCTGCTGCAACGAGCTCAACGCTGGCTACGCCGCCGATGGCTACGCTCGATCCCGCGGGGTTGGGGCGTGCGCCGTCACCTTCACGGTCGGGGGATTGAGCGTCCTCAACGCCATCGCTGGAGCTTACAGCGAGAACTTGCCAGTGATTTGTATAGTGGGAGGCCCCAATTCCAATGACTATGGGACCAACCGGATCCTCCACCACACCATTGGCATCCCGGATTTCAGCCAGGAGCTTCGCTGCTTCCAAGCTGTGACGTGCGCACAGGTAATCTAGAGAAGCCATAGCCAAGATCTTTAGTTGTTCTATCTTCTTTCTCTATGCTAAAGTTTTTCCACAGGCCGTGATCCAGCACCTGGAAGACGCGCACGAGCTCATCGATGGAGCGATTTCTACTGCTCTTCGCGAGAGCAAGCCCGTCTACATCAGCGTTTGCTGCAACCTCGCCGGCCTCGAGCATCCAACTTTCAGCAAAGAACCGGTTCCTTACGCGCTCTCGCCCAGGTGACCGATCGATCCAAACGTAAAGTTGACACTCTCGTTTTCCTTGCTCTTCTCGCCAGGATGAGCAACTACCAGAGCTTGGAAGCGGCAGTGACTGCCGCCGCGGAGTTTCTAAACGCGGCAGTCAAGCCGGTGCTCGTGGCTGGCAACAAGCTCAAAGCTTGCCGAGCGGTGGACGAGTTTGTGGAGCTCGCCGATGCTTGCAGCTACCCGGTTGCCGTGATGCCATCCGCCAAGGGCTACTTCCCAGAGTCCCATCCTCGATTCATTGGAACTTACTGGGGAGCCGTGAGCACTCCTTATTGCTGCGAGATCGTCGAGTCGGCCGACGCCTATCTCTTTGCCGGACCGGTTTTCAACGATTACAGCTCTGTTGGCTACTCGTTGCTCATCAAAAAGGAGAAGGTTATCATGGTGCAAAGCGAGAGGGTGACCATCGGAGGTCGCCTCTCGTTTGGTTGCATTGTCATGCGAGATTTCCTCAAGGCTCTGGCCAAAAAGCTCCGCAAGAACGACACTTCTTACCAAAACTTCCAGAGGATGTATGTTCCTGAGGGACACGTTGTGACACACGGCAGCACGGATGCTCTTCGTGTCAATGTCCTCTTCAAGCACATCCAGGTAAAGCGCTTGTTCCAGGTGTTTGATTTGTACACGAACTCTTGCCTTTCTCACGTTGGAAGCTTGTTGTTTTGGTTCAGGAGATGCTGTCCAAGGACAGTGCAGTGATTGCTGAGACTGGTGATTCTTGGTTCAATTGCCAGAAGCTTAAGCTCCCTGATGGATGCGGGTAAGACACGATGAACTTATCTCCTCGATCGAAACTCATTCCATCTTGTCGAAAAAAGCTTTGAGTTCCAGATGCAATATGGATCAATTGGATGGTCAGTTGGAGCTACCTTGGGATACGCTCAAGCGGCCAAAGACAAGCGTGTCATCTCATGCATTGGAGACGGAAGTTTTCAGGTATTCATCACAACCTTTTAGTAGTCTCAAGGTTTTTACGCACGAGAGATCGTGAATCCAGGTGACTGCTCAGGATGTGTCTACCATGATCCGATATGGCCAGAAGAACATCATCTTTCTGATAAACAACGGAGGCTACACCATTGAAGTTGAGATCCACGATGGCCCCTACAACATCATCAAGAACTGGAACTACACCGGAGTTGTGGATGCGTTTCACAACAATGAAGGCAAATGCTGGACTGCAAAGGTAGGCCTGTAGTTCTATCATTTTCTAGACTCAAGTCTTTTTATTTGTTTCCTCAGGTGCGAAATGAGAAGGATCTTATCGAAGCTATAGCCAAAGCTCAGGGCGAGAAGAAGGACAGCCTTTGTTTTCTAGAGTGCATTGTTCACAAAGATGATACGAGCAAGGAGCTCCTCGAGTGGGGAAGCCGAGTGTCCTCTGCTAACAGCAGGCCTCCCAATCCACAATAAACATCCATTCCATTCCTTTTCTTTTAAGTTGAGAGTGCTTCTCACAAGCATAGTTTTCTCGTACAATCTACAGCAAGTGCCTTACCTGGGCGTTTGTTGCTAACAGCAAAGCAAGCGCCTCTTTGCCAGCCTATGATGCTTCACATTCCCTTAGAAGATAGCCCAGTGTCTCTTTAGTCTTCATGAGGCTCCTCTTCTTTGCTAGGGGCTTGCAGCCTCTAGACAGCAAGAAAACCTCTCTACCATGGTCTCTTGAGCGGAAGATGAGAGAAATTGTTTTAGATGCCTGATAATATTGAAAACGAAGACCTGATAGCATTCTCATTGACAGTGATACCATCCAAGTACTGCTGTAGTGCAGTTTGGAGCCTCCCCAGACGCGTTTCTTTTCCGTCATTTTATCCTGGAGAACCTTTGACAAGAAGCAAGCGAAAACCGATCAAAAGAATTTGCATCACAGCTACCTTGTTGTGTCGCTTTTGAAACCGAGAAAGGTAGTTCCACTCCTAGACTTCGACCCCAGAGCAATCAGTTGCATATACAGCCACCCGGTAAAGTTTCAGCCTCTTTCTTCTGTGTATCGTGGAACTTCAAAACCCGTGGTTTGTCTGCAATAGCGACGCTATACTTCTTTGTTTGCCTCGACGATGCTGCTATCAGGCTGAATGGCGTCCGTTCCTGTATGCCACGAGATGTGAGAACGAGTCCAAATCCGCTCACCATCCAATTCTAGTAACGGATCAAACGGAAAGATTTTGTCGTGCTCGGGTTCCAGCTGTTCGTAAAGATCTGTGGAATTCCTTTGTGAGCAGTTCACGTCTCCAAATCTCATGATCCGCTCCGAAGGTTTGAGCAGCGAAGTCAGCTCTATGCTTATGTCTTCGCTGGTTCTTGATATCTCCTGCAGCAGCGCAATCGGAGATTAGTCTCTTATCTTTTGGGCAAACATTCGTACTTTTTTTCGCAATTCCTGAAGCTCAACAGGCCCTCATAGTGTCCGTTTACGTAGTCCTTCTGCTCGAAGAGCCTTGTTGATTCCATCCCACTCCGACTCAGCCACCTGTTGGTTCCAATCTTCGCTCGCCAGGAAGATATGTTGTCATGTATATACATGACCTTTCTCATTCTTTGTTCAATTAATCTTGCTCTTGTCAAACATCTTCCTAAACGCTTGTGTCTTGGTCTCTGTACTCGACAAGGGAATCTTAAACTCTGGTGTGCTTGAAATTTTGATCTTACATGTTTTTGTTCTGTAAAATCAAACGAAACAGCTCAATAGCAACGACATGGAATAAATTACCCGCATTTCTTCCCGACTGGCCTCGTACTCGTGACGTTTCGTGCTCTTTGAATGGCGCTTCCATTGTGTCCATCTTGTCATTTAACTTCTGGAATATCAAAGTTCAATGCTAGAAAACACTTGTCTTCGAGCAAACTCAGCTGGCCTGCGACTTCTATGCTGCTAACGTTTTGCACAGGCGTAGAGTTTACCGCGGGGGGTGAGGAATTTCAGCGAATATCAGGAATCGTTTCATGAGAATTGATTTTCCCTTACCCTTTACTCATTTCTCGGGTAGACAGCAACCTTGTGCCACTGAATCTGAGAGCTCTTCCATCACCGAGGATTTTTCGAACGGACTTGTCCTACGACTGCCTGGATTCGTTTCATCGCCAAAAACGAAAAGAATGGAAGGAAGAACTTCGTGAAATTTTTCTAAAAGAGAAATCACTGCGACGAACCTTGTAATTGTAGAGTCCAAACGTGTTCTATGTCGCCGATCTTGAGAAGTTCTTGTCCTTCGTACTTCGATGTCGGTCTCGAGCAAAATCGCGCGGCAGCGCCTGTAACGATCGACACAAATGCTGCATTGCGATACAAAATGAGTCCCGGCCATGAAGTTGTTCGAACCTCGGAAACACTCCATCGCTTGATCCTTCTCATATCCAGAGCGATGCTCAGGAGACAAGGCCGGGCTACCTCCATAGAGGCACGAAGATTACCTCAAAGCGAAGTGGTAGCAAAACTACAAATCCTAAGTTTGCTGCTACCATATTGCACGTGAGTCTCCTGATCTTGGCAGTGTCGACCAAGATCAGGAAACCATCAGGAGATCTGGACTAGCAGCTCTACACGAGAATGAAAAGCCCCGAAACCTTGTTGTAGTTTTCTACTTTGACATTAATGGTCAAACTCGACGCGCAAGCGAGTAGCGTGTTTTATGCATGTATGCATGATCAATCGAAAATGATCGGTTGGTCGCGTTGTCTAGGAAGGAAGTTGTAAAAGTTGGACCGAGTATCATTCTCTGACCCTACGAAATATACAATCGAAAGAGAAGCAAAATTCAAAGAATCATGACAAGGAGATTCATTCTTTTTGTGATAATTACAGTACTGGTGCGAGCAGCAGTGTCATCGATCTCTGTTCATGAGGGCGATCTTCGAAGTCTAACATGCTTCACAGCAATCCTGAGCATGAATGGCGACTCGTCCCACAAATCCAACTGGTGGCAATTCCTTCCATATTTACAATCGAGCAGCGAGCAGGCCTTTCTGGGGTACTTGGTTTCTAGCTTCTCGGGTCGAAACCTCACGGCCGAGGTTGCGGAGAAAGGTGGGCTTTTCTCAACTAGAAACTCTTCTCTCATAGAGCACGAGTCCGAGG